GGGGGGGGGGGGGGGGGGGGGGGGGGTGACGCGGCGGGAGCCGGAGGAATAACACGCACACTCGACATCCAGGCCGGCATTGTAGTGCGACCAGCCCTTGAGCTCGATGCGGTCGCCCAGCAGGCCGAGGAAGTCCTCGAAGTCTTGGCTGGATTGGGCTGGAAAGGCAGGGCCCGGTGGTCAGTACATAGGAAGGGAGGGGGGGGGGGGGACAGTCGCGGGCAGAAGCCGGCACACGATGACCGGCACACGATGACCGGCACACGATGACCGGCACACGATGACCGGCACACGATGACCGGCAGGAGGCGGGCCGGGAGAGGACGCACTGTTGCCGAACATTTCCTCCTCGCGGACCTGGCCGTCGCGAACGTAGAGCACGCCGAACTTGTACCGGACCTCACTCTGCTTGTGCTCCAACTGCAGGAGGGCTTCGCTGAGGGAGATGGCCGGAACCCGATGACCGCCAGGCCCGGAGCTCGGGGTATGGGCCCCTTTGCCGCTTCCGGAACCGGAGGCACTGGCAGCACCGGAGGAGGCGGTGGACGACCCGCCAGACCCGAGCCCCGGGGTCCGACGCGAGAGCATGGACGTGAGGCCGCCCGGGCCGGCGCCCCCGGCCAGGCCCTGGGCACGGAGCGCCGCGGCGCCGCCGGCTCCGACATCCGGGATCCACGTGAGGCAGTTGTCGGTGGAGTAGCGCTTGGAGAGGATTTCCGCCAGGACATCCCCGCGCAGGTGGGTGAGCGAGGTGAGCGGCATGAAGCGCACGAAGCACCCGTCGCTGGTCCAGATGAGCACGCGCAGGCGATCGCCACCGGTCCCGGAGGCAACGCCCCCGGTGCCGGAGGAAGTGGCCCCGGAAACCGCGTGATCCCCCTGCTCGCGGATGGCCGACACACAGAGAGGCCCGAAGCGCGAGTCGATCCCGAGGAAGTTGAACATGCCGCCCCCGGCCCCGGGGCCGGCCAGCGAGGAGGCATCAGCCGACAGCAGCGAATCGTGGCAGGCCCCGGGAGCGCCGCCGGTCGGCCGCCGGAGCGGGTACCAGAAGTACTCGCGGAAGAGGAACCCATTGTTCAGATGGTGCATGACCGGCTCGTCGTCGTCGATCAGCGGGGCCGCCCGGCAGCCGGACCCCAGGCAGCTGGGGCAGGAGGCGAACTCCGGCTGGTCCGAGGGCGACAGGGGCCGGCCGGCGGAGGCCCCGGCCCCGAGGGGCAGGGCATCGCCCTCGCTGTCGGACTCGGACGGGAGCTCCATGTCCGGTGTGGAGGCCCCGCCGCTGGTGGGACTGGCGCCCCAGCCGCCGGGCGGATCCTCGGCGCCGGAAGCCCGGCGGAGAACCTGCCGCCAGCCGGGGCTGGAGGAGGCCCGACGCGCCTGGGCCCCGGCCCCGGCCGCCGAGTTGGCCGGGTGTGTGACCGTTGTCGAGCCAGGGGCATTGGGCAGCAGGGGGAAGTCCGTCCCGGCGCGGGGGTGGAGCTGGCTGGCAGGTACATATTGCGACCCCTCGCACCGGTGACATAGGAGGAAGGTGTAGTGGGGGGGCAGGGCCGCCGGGGCGCCGAGCTGCGGCGCCTCCACACAATAGCCTCCAAGCTCGGCGATCAGTGGGACCTCCTGCGTGGTGGCGGGGAGCCGGGGGGGTGTGGGGGGGTGTGGGGGGGGGGACTTGTCAGCATAGAGAAGGGAAGGGAGGGGCCGAGGGCAGAGAAGGGCCAAGCAGGGGAGACGAGCAGGGCAGACGAGCAGGGCAGACGAGCAGCGCACCACTTCGTGAGACATGATGCTCGCGTATTTGGCACTGGCACTGCGGGTGGTGGCCTCGATGTTGCGCAGGAGGAAGTCATGCATGCTCTTGTAGTAGTTGAGAGCCGCCTCGTCGCGGCCCATGGGCCGCTGGCGGACCGTGGCCAGCAATGTCTCCATCGAGTGCAGGGTGTCGAAAAGGACCTCCCGATAGGATTCGATGGTGGTGGACGCGTGGAAGAGCAGCCGGCTGGTGCTCTTGAGCATGGCTGCCTTGCCGGAGGGGAGCATCTTGCCGGCGCGGATGTCGGACGTCAGCTGGCTGGTGACCGCCAGGCCGGTGAAGCTGTCGTTCAAGTAGGGGTTGAGCTTTTAGAGTGGAGGGAGGAGGGTCAATCAGGCGTCGGGGCGAGGGGGGGGGGGGGGGGAGAGAGACACACACAGACACACACAGACACACACAGACACACACAGACACACACAGACACACACAGACACACAGAGAGGGGGAGACGCACACGCTTGATGACGAAGAGAATACGACACGCGGCGTCGGCCACGATGTAGTCGATCTCACCGGAGCCGGGGCCTGCTGAGCCGGCACCGGTGACAGCTCCGGCCCCGGTCCGAGGAGTTGGGCCGACCTCGGTCGGGGAGTAGTCCTGCAGCGTTTCGAAGGGGAGGAGTGGGCGACCGAGCCCACCAGTGCGCAGGCGCTCGCGAATGTGCACGCCAGAGGGGGTGTAATTGAGGGCACCCACAGCGAGGGCCCGGCCGGCGGCCTGAGGATCGCTGGGTCCGAGCCCGACACTGGCACCGGCACCGGCACCGGCACCGGCACCAGCACCGGCACCGGCCAGAGCCGCCCCCGACCCCGGGGAGAGGTCCGTCAAGGAGGCATCCGGAGTGGAGAACTCATTGTTGCTGGTGGACGACCGCAGGGGGTAGGAAGGGGTGGTGGGCGGCTCGAGGAGGCTGGCATCGGCCCCGGCCCCGGTCCCGGCCCCGGCGCCGCGCAGGAAAAATTGCACATCCTCCTCATCCGGATAGGCCACCAGCTCCGGGGGATTGTTCAGCCGCGAGAGCGCCATGAGGACGATGTCCCGCGCGGGGAGCTTGGCATCGGACACATACAGCAGCGGGGCCCGGGGGATGCCATCGGGCCCGGTGCAGGAGGGCGAATTCAGGCAGATCGGGTGGAGAGTCTCGTGCGCGACGACCGGCGACGCGTCGAAGGCGGGGAAGGAGTTGTGGAATTCGCTGAGAGCCCCCTGCGAGGGGAGGATGCCCGGGGAGGAGATGCTGGAGCTGGCGCGCGAGGAGGCCAGCGATGTGTCCGACAAGTCGGCCGACAGGTGATCGAGGCTGAGCGGGGCAATGCCCGGAGCAGTGGGGCCGGCAGACCCGGGCCCGATGGTCCCGCTGCCTGGCAGACCGGCCATGCCCTCGTGCAGGCCAGCACCGGAGCCGGTCCCGGTGGCCGAGGGGCCGCGGAGGTGGAGCTGCGGCGCCGCCTGGAAGGATATCCGCCGGGCGGCCAGGGCCGGGGCCGGTGACACGGCCACGGCCGGCAGCGCGGGCGGCACCTCGGCAGGCGGGGCCAGCATCATGTAGGTGCTTTCGTCGCTCTCGGTGCCGCTGTCGAAATCCTCCGACGGGGGCTGGTTGTCGACGGTGGCCATGGGAGACCGGGGAGGCGGCCCGGAGCGCCGGGCCAGGGGCAGGCCGCCGTGCTGCTCGACGGTCGAGGGGTCGGGGCCGGGCGCGCCGGAGTCCGATGCCGAGGGGTAGGCCGAGATGGGGGACACGCCGTCGCCCCCCTCCTGGCTGAGGGACAGCATGCTGATGGGAGCCAGGGCCGGCATGGGGGAATGCGGCGACCGGGAGAGCGAGCTGCTGGAAGACCCGGCCGAGATGGAGCCGATGCCGACCACCGGATCGTAAGCCGCACCGGGGTAGTGGGCGCGCGAGCCGGGCGGCAGGGTCAGCGTCGGGGTGGAGGCCCGGCCGGCGGCGGCCGCGGCCGCATGGGCCCGCGCCGAGGCGGCCGTGGTCAAGAGCTCGATGGAGCCGAGGGACCCGGACCGGGCCCGGCCAGCCCGGCCCGGGCCACCGCGAGGGGACCCCCCGCCGCCGAAGGACAAGACACCAGGGCCCCCGGGCGCGGGAGACCCGGAGGACCCGGGCCCGGCCGTGGCCGACAGGAGCCCAGCGTGCGAGGCCCGGCGTGTCCAGTGCCCGGCCGGCAGCGAGGGATTGGCCAGCTGCAGGGGCAGGAGCATGCTCCGGGGGCGGAGGTTGCGCGACAGGTCGTCGGCGGCCCGGCGGCGGGTTTCATCCGCCACACGGGACAGATGCTCGGCCAGGATGTCCGCCGGGAACTCCACCTCCAGGGGATTGGGCCCGGCATGGTGTGCATGGGCCCCGGGGTGGGGGCGCTGGTAGGGGGAGGCATTGCTATCCTGGTAGCTGCTCTCGCTGCACTGGCGCGACAGTCGGTGGAAGTCCGGGGGGGGAGAGGACGAGAGCCCGGGCGAGCGGTTGACGTCCGAGGCCGAGCCGCCGTATGAGCTGTACAGGCTGGCGGTTTCGGCCGAGGGGGGGGGAGGGGTGGAGGTGAGTTCCGGCGCTCGGGGCAATCTGGCAGGGGGGTGGGGGGGGGTGGCGGTGGGGGGAGAAGAACGCACTTCACATCATCCTCGGAGGGGATCCTGGACGCGAAGTCCGATGTGCTCATGACCTCGGCCGACGGGAAGGAGTGCGAGATGTGCGAGGACCTGGATGTTGCAAGGAGCCGACGGGAGATCTGCCGGTGGGTGGGGGGTGGGGTGGG